CAGACAGACAGACAGACAGACAGACAGACAGACAGACAGACAGACAGACAGACAGGTAGACAGACAGACAGATGGAGATCTCACCAAGAAGGGCGTCGTCCTGGAGTGAGGCCCGGACAAACTTTGGCACGGTGGAGCTGACGTCTGAGGACACAGGACAGAAACTGGGTCAGGGACATATCTGTAGGACATATGTGTGAGTATGTTTCTGTATGTGTATTATTGTGTGTATAAGAGTGTGTATTTTCTCTGTTCATGTGTTGTATTTCTGTTTGTGTGTGTGCAGGCAAGTGTGTGCATGTGTGTGTTTATGTATGTAGAAGTAGAAATAGGACTAAGAAAGTGGCGATGGATGGGACACACCTTCAGAAAGCCTAGCTAAAACATCACAAGACAGTTCCTGCAGTGGAACCCAAAGGGAGCACGAGGCAAGGGTAGGTCACGGGAAACAAGGAGATGTGTGGAAAGGGACATGAGAGAGATGAAGCTCACTTGGAACGAGCTTGGAAGGATTGCCCAGGACAGAGATAAATGGAAGGAGCTTGTATGTGGCCTATACCCTCCCAGAGGTGAAAGGCATTGAAGATGTGTCTTACTCTTCAACTTCTTGCCACGCTCTATCTCGTCGAAGTCCGAGTACTGCTTCGCGTCGCCCTCGTTGGCGGAGAAGATGAGTCGTCTCCCCTGGAAGGTGTAGAACAGGATGGCGTCCGGCAGGTACCAGGCCCGGATAGGCCAGTAGGAGATCTGGATACCTGGTGGGGAAATAAAGGTTATCTCTTTTTTTTCAGAAATTATTTTATTTTGTTTAGGGTTTATTTGTTTGTTTGTTTGTCTTTTTTGTTTGGTGAGGGTTTTTCTCGCTTTCTTTTTTTGGGGGGGGGGGTGGTGTTGTTTTTTGTGTTAGTTTTTTTGTTTTTTTGTTTCTGGATTGTTCTTTTACTGGGGGGGTGGGGGGGGGCAGTAGTCGGTTTGCTATTTGCTTGTTTTGTAGTAAGAGTTTTATATCTCTTGCAACACAATAAGATCAACAATTGCAAGAGTTTAGGGGTGTTACAAAAAAGTAACAAACATAAAAAGGAGGATAGATAAGAACGATAGATATTTGATAGGACTGAAAGAGCAAACCACACCAGAGACAACCTTGCACTCCTTGCTATTCATTTGGTGCCAAATAGTGCCTCCACGGTGAACCAGAATAATGTCAGAGGGGGCGCACAGCCTGTTCATTTAACATTTGCGAGTCGAGGGCACTTAATGGCGTATGACACTTCCACTACACCGTGCCATCAAATTGTGTTGAATTTTGTTGGAAAATGCGCAAGTCCGTAAAAACATCTATCGGTGAGTCTATCAAGGTTTTATAGTTACAAACTATCGCTTTATTGGATTGTGTGTGTGTGTGTATTTGTATGTGTGTGTAGCATAATATGAGTTTGTATGTCTCTGTATTATTATGTATTATGTGTGTGTTTGTGTGTGCGTGTGTGTGCTTGCGTTTGCATGTGTGTGTGTGTGTGTGTATGTGTGTGTGTGTGTGTGTGTGTGTGTATGTGTGTGTGTGTGTGTTTGTGTGTGTGTGTGTGTGTGTGTCACACAGTCACACAAAAGAACCCCACAAAAATGTGAAAACAAAAGTCAAAGAGAAACCTTCGTCCTTGTTGCTAGCGTCGAAATGGCCCCAGTGTTTGAACCCCAGACCGTACACATGTTCGATGTTCTCTGACTTAAGATCCACCACGGCGATCGCGTTGTTCTCCTGAAATATACAATAACAGCTGTCTAATATTTACTCATTTACTCATTTATTCATTCATTTACTTATTTATTTTTTTAAATGTATTTCTTTATCTATTTGTTTATGCGTTTATTAATTAATTACTTAATTATTTATTTTTTTTAAAAG